GACGTCGGGCTTAGGCCGGAGAGGAGCAGAGGTTCGGGCTGAGAAGAAACTAGAAAAAGGATCGCTCGCAATCCTCGTATAGCTATAGGGGCCTATTTCATCACCAATACTCTTCTTGGCCGGGGCTCCTTTTTGTAGTTATGGTATAGTTAAATGTACTGTTGCCATCTCGGGTCGTTGGGGCCCCAGCCTGTGCTTCGCATGGCTTCGCTGCGGCATGGGACCCCTGACAAAGCACCCCTATAAACATAAAACCCTAAAACTCGAAGATCTACACCCTAAGCACCAAAGCTCCGACCCGAGGCCCATGCAAATGCTGTACTGGCAAAGACCTCAAGCGCTGAACCTCAAACCTTAGCCCCTAAAGTCCAGACCCGTCGGCCTCACCATCTCATTGGGTGATGGGCCTCTCCGAATTTACGTCAAAGCTGGCTCAAGGCTTAAAGCTTCGGCTTCCAGGTGCTCAGAGTTTTCAGGCTTCAAGGTTGAAGGTTGTGGTTGGGGAGACTGCCGGGAAACTGCAGTCGTGAGGGGGTTTTGGGGAGAAACGTCACTACGCTGCTTAGAACAGCTGCAGCTCCAAACCCTACAAAATAGTACCTGTGGACCGTGCTGTCACAGCCTTGACAGCCGTAGATGGTTGGATCCGCAGGTATGAGACTCGCCTAACATTTGAAGAGCCTCCTGGAGTCAAGACTTTCCTCCTGCGTATAACAAGTCGGAGATTATCGAAAAAGCAACGGCTCGAAGAGCGGACCCGAGAACACACAAGGCAAGGTTTAAAGGCAAAATCAACCTGAGGGCCTCAGGGGAAACTGCACAACTCAGATGAACAGACCATCCTACACACGGTCGACAAGAAAGACGAATCCGCCCGAGGCATTTCTGTCGAAGCAACTTTTGTTATTCCTTTCAGCGGTCCAAAACTGTGTCCGATGGACATTCATAAGATTGCGACTCAAGTTCCAATCCCCACAGGAGCCAATCTCGGGGTGCTTTGGTAAGCCTTTATTACTGCATTGCATGCACTCTATATAATGAGGGTTCTCTTTTCTTGCTCTCTGCGTAGGATTCAGCAGAGGCAAAGCTTCGCTTTCTGCATGCTGCGCATAGCCTCCATGAAGCGGACAGAACATGGAATAGATAGTCAATGTGCGCTCCTTTTGTGGTGCAGTCTCTCTGGCCTTAGCCTTTCCTGGCATCGCCTGCTCGGGAGACTCTCGAAATCCAATCCTGATCTAGAAGCCCGAATGATTCGGTTAAGGCTTTGTGGCGTAGAACTATAACAAGTGGATAGCATTGCTGACTATCTTCAACCTCTACATACACCTTCAGGAACCACTCGGTGCAAAGACCCTGGGCCGGCCCACCGCTGCTCGCATCAGCCTGAAAGACATCCCGGATCCTGGCAGGGGCATCTCTTCGAAACGGGACGTTCTTGATGTTTGAGGGCTTATCCTCACATTCCCTTATATAAAGGTCCGTATATCTTCTTTCTGTATATGAGCTATATTATATCCTGTATATACTTTGATCCTAACATATCCTAACATTCCTTCGCAGCAACCCCTTTTAGGCAAAGCGTGGGCCTACCGCCTTTCAGCCTTCCAAGTTTCCAACCCCCCCAAGCCATCAAGCCCCGCTTAGTGCTCCTCTTACTCTTTGGATGAGTGAAAGCTACCCTCGGTATAATCCATGCTGGAATCCTATACGCTGGTGCTATAATGCTTGTGTGACTCCTTCAAGAGCATGCCAAGAGCCCTCAAAACCGAACAGCTATAAACTCCTCAACTCCCAAACCCAAACCTCTCAAAGGCCGGACTTTCAACCTCGACGCCAGAAGCGTTAGCCTCCAAACCCCGAAGTCCTGAAACAGAAATAGACTTTATTTATAGAGCCCGAAAGCTCAAGCAAATCCGCGTAGACACAATTACCATGGGCTCGCGTAGGTGTTTGGAGTGCATCGAAGCTTCCGACTACGAGGTACAGGGCGGATTGACCCAACCTACAACCTAAAATGTGAAACTTAAACCCTCAAGCCTGCGTCCCGACCATTCCCAACATCTCGAGGCCCAAAGACTCTTAACACTTTCCACCTCAAGCCTCGATTTCCTGGCCCAACCCCCGCCGCAACACGCCCTTTCCCCTTCCCAAACAAACAAACCCATCAGAGCCCAGACAGAGCCAGGGAGCTGGACACCAGGAGCCGAGGCAGATAAGCTGTGGCTCTGATCGACCCCGGGCACCTTCCGGAGCTGTTGATTTAAGCTTCGATCCCGTGGCTGGGGTCTTGCAAGGTTGGAAGGCGAGTTTGAGGGCTTTGGAGCTTGCAAATTTGCCCTTCAGAGCTTTGGGGAGTTTTTGGGTTCAACCAAACCCTTGCACGACTACCCGGAAGCTCTTCCCCAGCTCCTGCAACGAAGCACCAAGATGTGGGAGCAACAAGTCCCGAGTCGCCGAAGAAGCGCGCATGAAACCCGGAGAAAACGCCCTGGAAGCGTAACCTTTCTTAGCGCCTGGTTCCTCATGCCCCTTTCGGCTCAAAGAATCGAACATGCGTTCCAGTTTTATTGAAGCTGCGCAAATTCGAACTGCTGTTTGGGGTCCTGCTTGCACAGAGTGTGCACACACTTTCGTACAAGGCTGGAAAGACTCGAAGGCTGGGATTTAGAACTGGCTGCTTGTGCTCGAGCTGGGTGATGCGTTTGGCGATTCACCAAACGCCTTGCATCATCCGCCGCCTGATACGACTAACCATACCAATCTACTGTGGCAATAGCCCGCCTGAGAAGAGGCACGCTGCGGGACCTTGCATAGTCATGGCCATTAGAAGCGAATCAATGCCAAGCCCGCCTTCAAATCTGAGCTGAAGACTGCTGCCCCTGCAAGCGGAGGCACCGCAAAAATACCATCAGAACTTCACCGTGCCACGCCTCTCTCCAGGCCAGGGGGAGACCTCAGGAAAGAGAGATGCAGATGCAGCGAGAGACAAATTCAGAACAGATAAAGACTGTAGTAGTAGTGATAGTCAAGCACCCATAAAAAAAGGAATAATGGCAAGCAATATGCAATCAGGAACAACTATTATCATACTACAGGGGCCGCATGGCACTTGCCGAGTTTCCCGGCCGAGACGGCAGTGGGCGGTTGTGTGCTGACCTCAGCACGCAGCCCCTAAGAAACGCTGTCACGACCACATCTGTGACATCTGGAAAGTGCGACTCATCCGGCTGTGTACAGACAATCAGTTCAGAGGCACCGTGAGACCAGTACTTTTGGGCAAACAAGACACACAGAAACAGTATATACTGCCACTCACGGAAATCAGGATCCTGCCGCCAGTTGTTGTCGCGAGCGGCGCGTCCCCTGAGAAACGGTGTTGCATGAAGTCAATCAGGTCTGACATCGATTGATCCGGATCTGCAATTACAATCAGTGCAAAGGCATCTTGAAACCATTGCTTCCGGTCAAAAAAGAAACACAGCAACAATACATACTGCCACTCACGGAATTCAGGATCATACGGCAAATCATCGTGCTGCGAAGCCATTGCAGCCATGAGCTGATCAAGGACTCGCCTAAAGGGATTGCGCGGAACTATCAAAGAGCATATTGTGAGCTGCTGTAACTAAACTGTACATGGGGGGCACCTCGTAGTTGTATGTAGAAGTCATAAGGCGACCCGTAACAGGGACATTCTACAGTTTAGTCCCCGGGAGCTTCTATAGGGATTAACTGCTTCTTGAGCCGGACCCGGAATGCCAACACGCCGAGACATCTCCCAAGAGAAGTCCGGCGGCTCCCGAAGCCTCGGGCCATGCTTGAAGAATGGGCTTGCTAAGGCAAGGAACCCCCAGGGGGTTGTAATGACTTGGACGGGTTCTTAAACAAAGACGACTTTTATGGGGTCAAAACCGGAATATGCTCCGTAAATGTCAAGGCCGAAGCGTCTAAGCATCAACCATTCGCCCAGAATGCAAATCAGGACTTTCCGATCAGCTGCGCTGGGGAGTACCCCGAACCCTGAACAATGAACCCTAATTGTAAAACCGAAAACATGGCCCTATCTGCTAGCCTTTTTGGCCTGTTCTTTGCTGGCATACTTCTCTGCCCCTGCTTTCATGCTGATATGGAAAGGTACCGAACACATGAAGCAAGCCCTTGTGGCTTATAAAGTCTATTATTAACAGTGGGTGAACGGATTGTTCGGGGCAAACCAGAACCCAACGACGTGCAAACGGTGCAGCACTGAAAATCGACGCACATCTCGAACCTTTTCAGAGGTCTGCCAAAGGTTTCAAAGCTGGAACAACCTCTCGCAGCAAAGTTGCAGCCTCCTCAGACATTCCACGTGCTTCGAGCAGCATAGCTAAGTGGTTGATAGTACTGACTCTCTGTGGGTGTGCTGCATCGAAGTGGCTGCGAAAACCATCCAGTGCCTCTCGAAACAAAGGTTCGGCCTCTATACGCCTGCTTTGCCCACGTAGGAGCTCAGCCACGTTCTCCATCCTTGCCAGGGTCTCTGGATGGTCAGCGCGCAAACGCATGGCGGAGGGCGCGGAGCGCCTTCCCTGTCTCCCAAGGCAGCAGCCGACAAAGACCGTGCCTATAGGCACTGCTGCACGCCGCTCTTGGGCACTTCTGAGTCAGCTGAGCGCCACGCAGGGACGTCATCGCAACCTCCAAGTCTTCGACACAAGGGGTGATGGCAGGGACGTCCGTTAGAGACGTCTGCCGCTCGAAAATGTTGTAAGCTAGCCTAGTCGGCACCACCAGGGGAATGCAGTGGCTGGATCGGCCACTCCAAGTTCGCAGCACTTCTTGACTGTCAGCATCTTCAAAATCAGCACGCAAGGGACTTCCATTGCTGTAATTGTTCAACAGAACCCTCATGCGTCTGCCCCAACCAGCCGGCTCATGCTGCGTCGCATAGATCCCCTCCCCACGAGTGATCTCCAGGCATGCAACCATCATGGCTATGTTACAGAGCCAGCTCATCATCAAACTCGTCTGCCCCCATTTGGAGAATTGAGGTCGCCGATGTTGAGAAAACCATTCTCACCCTGCCAGTATAGCGCTGAAAGGCACTCGGCCACAACTGCACGTATGTACAGGGTGTCGTCAAACTCGACGGTAGCCCCGTGACGGTACCAGTAGAACCCGCCTCCCCACCACATAAGATCGCTGACGAGATCATCCATCTGCCGCTGCGCCTCCCGCTGCAACACCTTCTCCATGTGCAGCAGGCAGTCCAAACCTCAGCCAACAAATTGCAAGTCCAGCTTATTTCCACACACACGCCCGGCAAAGACGGATACGGCCGCAGTTGGGGTTCGTTGGGTGTCACGCAAGAACCCTTGACGCGTTTGGCTCTTGGGACTTCTTGGGATACCAAAAGCACCTGCTTAGGGAAATCAATGTCTTCAGACGCAAATCGCCACGCAGAAAGGGACCTACAGGTACAGAAGCCTGGGCTAGAGTACATGGCATCAAGGTTCAAAAGCACTTTTGGAGTGCAAACGTCAATCAGAACAAAACCCACCCTGTGTACCAGTATGCATGTCATGAAAACTTGTTCTTAAAGTGTCGGTAAATGTCCTTCGCGGGGTTTGTGCCAGTCATTTCGGGTGGGTTCGGGCGAACTCGTCCATTGTCCTAGTTAAGGAAGACACTCACAGGATTGAACCTCTGATCCTTTTGGCGGCGGCCGGACCGGCCGCAAGAAAGAAAAGAGCAAAACAAAGCGGACGTGGGTGAAACACGGACCACGGCAGAAAGTCCACTATGACAAAAGCTGGCTCGGACGGAAATGGGACGGCGGCGGAAAAGTCAAATGCAACCACGTTGCAAGCCGGTGGCTTCGGCGGTCGGTTGCCGTTGCGTCCTAATACCAAACATGCCCGATCAAGCTCGGAAACATTCGGTCGGACTAGTCCGTTACCCTAGTTAAGGAAGACACTGACAGGCTCGAACAGAAGTCTGCTGTTTGAACCGATGCATGAAAGTCCGGTGATCTGGTGAAGCACAGCCACGGGCGGACGCAGACTGGGGTTCTCAACAATCCACAGTATCATTGCAAGAGTCGCTTTGAACTCTTGTTTTGCTCTTTCACATGCTAGAATTGTAACCAAAGATTGTATTGAATGTGTTTACACCACACAGAAAAGCATCCGCATGACATGCGGGTATTTCTAGCTGCAACCAAGAAACTTGCACGCGCATGCACTGCATAGGGGTCGGAAGACGCATTCGGAGGTAGCAGGGCCAACGAGCTGTTGCACAGACTTGACAGCATCCGCAAACACGACGCGAGCTCCTCGAGCAGCATGCAACCCCAAGTCTGTACTACTGCCAATATTATTGGTCGGACATTTGTAAAACCATTATAATTGCTACTAACTCTCAGCATTATTTGTATCAGCAAAGTGGTCGGCAGGCCTCGGGGCTTGTGAAGTTCAGCGAAACGGCACGGCTCTGACATATCTCCGTGGCCTCAGATGCTTTTCCGGCCATCCGTAGAATTGGAGGCAAAACTGAGATGAAACGGTGAAATGCTAGGCCGCCTGCTGGCAGCCACTGAAGTATGTTCATCCTCAGGTGCCTTCGCTTTCTCTCGCGAGACACAGCAAATCAAACCAACAAAGACTGGGTTGCTGCTGAGGAACTCAAATTAAGTTACAATACTTGGGGAAACATATTAAGTAACTGATATTAAGAAACCATAAAAGGACTGTGGATTGCTCTTCAACCGGTGCTGTCCCGTCAGGGGTTGAGGGCAGGAGCACTGGGAGCTGCTTTTTCTTGTTCAACTTAGTGAAGAAATCCATAGCATCTGGCCTGGTCATGGTCTAGGACGTCAGGAGGAATTGGGAAGGTCACTCGCACACTCAGCGTGCATGAGCTTGCACATGACTACGGCAGCAAGAAGCACTTTGCCAATGAAGTGTTGAGGATATGGATAAGCAGGCAAGTGACAGCGTCCGGTCGCCAGCATGCACTGGTGCCAAGAATGTTGCTAGCACAATCGTTGTTCGTAGTCGTCTTGCATTTGGTTGGCCTGCGGCCAGCCCTGGGTGCCCGCCCAGAGAAGAGCATAGATTATGATGCAGCCCTGGCTGCGAAGACCAGTCGCCGATGGCCACAGGCGTGCCCATGTCGGACTCATGTGGCCTCATCTTGCGGTGCACACTGAGGCAGACTTCAGAACAACGACCCACCTCAACACTGCCACTTCTTCTTCATGGAGGCCCTGCACGAAGACAGGCGCTCAACACCAAGAATCTTGCAAGCACGTCACATTGTTGGTCTGTTTGCTGCGTTTTATCTGATCAGCCGAAGTTTGGGAGCGGGATCCAAAAATTTGGAGTGGGGGCCTTACAATGGGGCATATGGTATGTTGGGATCCATTTTGGCACCCCATTTCTGGAGAGTCCCAGATGAGCTCCTGCAAAAATCAAGATTTTCAAGCTGTGCGGCCTTACAGGCTTATCACAACTTCATACAACTGGTGCCAATCCCCGCTTTTGCTGCGGTTTCACGGCGGACGCAAGGGTTGCTGATCGGACAGGAAGGCCCAAATTCCAACAAGAGGTAAGGAGGGCGGGCGGTGGGGTCGGGGGGCAGTGGCTACAAGCACTGCACCCCGAAAACAGGGCCCACACTTGCGGCGCAAGGAGTTCTTTCATTTTGCTTATGTGCACAGAGACTCGTTCCGAGCCTGGCCGTTGGGCCATGGCCCTTCCTAGCTGCCTGGCTTGGGCGCTCTCTGCCCTTGACATCCCTTGACACCTCTCTTGCCACCTGTCGTTCGATACGTGACATCGCATGAGCCTTAAGCGGTGCTTTCCAACCTTGAGGACCAGGCCACGGCAAATTTCCGGTTTCAATCCCCTCTCCCGACCGTCCAAAGGCGGTATCTCCAGTCCCATAACACATGGTCTGGCTCTAACTTCTCCGCCGTTCTAATTGCCAAGGTGAAACCTGACAGGCGGGCAACACTGAGGATCCACCCGGACGGCTGCAAGAGGATCCACTCCCAGCCCTTGCTTCCTGAACGCGCCCACATTCCGCCGGGAAATGAGCGGCCCCTGACACTCGTTTTTGTCAGGGAGTGGGGATACCGTATATAGTATACACTTGCAGAAAATGCCAGGATCAGAAATGCACGGATGAGATGATGGAAACTCGGCTTGTCACCCGAAAGACATCTGGACTAACATCTGCGATCGTATCCCGGCCTCAAGCGCATCTTCCGGCTGTGCAATTGGCGAAAGCCTTGGCTTCGATTGTGCAATCGGGTGACTTCTGGACTCAAGTTCTGATATAGAGTATATTCCTTCTTAGGTCCCCTTTTCCCGATATAAAATTCCCTCTAGGTCTTCCCCAACTTACCTTTGGTGTGTAGCTCAAGCGACTTGCACGGCCACAGTTATTCCTCAGTCTACGAACTTGCTGGGACAATCACGAGACGAACTCCGCGTCATCTGTCCGCACCTTGGACCCGCGGCCAGAAGCACAAAGCAAAGTTTACGCAAAGCCATGGCCGCGGCCCATCTTGCTTCGAAAAGGTCCTCTAGCGAGATCACTGGAATGTTGGTATTTGATGCCTGCAAGCCGCTAGCAATCGCTAGCAAGAGCCAAGATCTTGAGTGACTTCGTGGCTCTGCCCGTGCCTCCAGCAGCTGGACTTGGACTGCTGGCACCTGAAGGCCACAAGTCTCCACCAAAAAAAAGACAACTCTTGCGCTCCTGGAGAGAAGAAACACGAGCGAAAGTTATGAAAGTACACGTAGGAGTCGACTTTTGTGTATCCTCTCATCTCTATGTGTATGTGCTTGGGGCATCTGTCTGCGACGGCAAAAAAAAACCTAAGACACATGCAAAACGGGCTCGAGCCTCGTCGTCATCCACATCCATCCTGTACTTGTGTATGACCTGCGGCCGTTGACGCTGGCAAGACGTCCTTGAACCTGCGTTGTCGCCTGACGTCTGCGTCGCTGCTGCCTCTCCCCAAGACCTGAGTTCCCCCTTGGTTAAGACAAGAAGCAGCGCTGCTGTACACTGAGCGCTGTGGCACGGACAACTGAAAGCTCAGATCGCAGCTCATTGGCACATGTGCGAGTGCTCCTTCGACCAGCACTTCCTCAGCTGTTGCCATCCGTCCTTCATAGACCTTCACGGATGATGTGCGAGAATCTTCTCAGTACCTTGAGCCCGCGACTGGCCCAGCAGCTGCAGCCTGCAAAACTGGCATCGGTCCAGAAGTGCAGCTTGCATGCCATGAAGTGCCAAGAGCCTTCTGCCAGCTGCTGGTGAACAGGGAACGGAGGAAGCCAGCATGGATAAAGAATAGACACGATTATGGCAAATTCAAGGAGATGCTGCCCTGACCCTCCAGTAGACACTGAAGCAAGCTTCCCTTAGATGCGTGATGAAACACGATTCCCTCCGATGTTACTTCCTTGTAAAGCATGGATGTTTTTATGGATGCCGCTTGTGCTCTAAGCTTCGCGGTAAGAGGAAGACAACAGCTGTCGGCATGCCTTGCACAGTGTATAGCTAAAGCCAGAGCTAAAGCCGTCATCAGATCCTCGCATTTGCCGTAAAAAGAAGTACTACCCGCGTGTGCCTCTTGCATGGTTTTTTGGGCGGTATAAGACCTTGATACTGTGTTAAGCTGCGCTTCAATTCGTCAACGTGGAACTCGAAGTTCTATAGGTTATGAGCCCAAGCACAGGGCGCAGCAGGACAGCTTGGGGTTGCCGAATGGTGTAACTCGTGAACTACTACAACCGGCCCCACCGGCAGCATCTACGACCTCAATGGAGAATCCGAATATCGGCGATGTGATGTTACCTGTGGATAGAACTGGTGGAGTGGAGCTGACGATGACACCGCAACCAGCCGATCCCACTTATGATAGGGAACCGCATGCGGGCGCGAACGTTATAACTCCGGCGACGCAAGCAGTGGCCGCCCCGCAACAGGCTTTTCCTACACCCCCGACTCCGGCGAGTGCGGTTCATGTGCAGCAAGAGTTTTTCTCTGCCCAATCAGGGACTACCGGAGCTGAGGTGCAAGGAGTTCGGTGGATGTCGCGGTTCACCGAGTTTCTCAGATCAACAGCCACTCGAGGGGCCCAAGGAGTTGACAGGGTCCTTGATGGATTAGGAGTACCTCCTCTACCTCAACGAGCTGCAGCTGGAAGTACGAGACCGGTGTTTTCGCCCCCCGAGGAGCTGCCGGCGATGTCAATGGTGGCACCTCCTGTGCCAGGATCATGGGTCTCCCGACAGGGGGTCCCGGAAGGCGCACCGCTTTTCGGACAAGCTGAGTTGATGCAGATGAGAAGGTCTCAGATGGAGTATCCCCAACTTTATGGTCCTCAGCAGAGATCAGAAGGAGGAGGCTCGGAGACCTCTTCACGCCTACAAGCAGAAGTTCAGCGACAGCTTGAGGAGTACAAGGCAAAACAGCAGGTCGAAGTGGAAAGACTGCAGCAAGAAATTGCTATGCTAAGGGAAGAAAGAGATCGTGACCGAGGGCTGAGACAGCAAGAAGCCCCTGATCAATCCACCCTTCCCCTTCAACGCCAAGGTGACCTTCCGGCGCTGTTCGCGACAGTTGGACAGCCTCCAGGACTGCAGCCACTATACCAGGTGGAGTTAATGCACAGCTACCACAGAATTCTAGAGAACCAGGTGGGGTAAATGCTCAGCTACCACAGAATGCCAGTGTACCAGGTGGCGGGTATGCTCAGCTACCACAGAGTGCCGGTGTATCAGATGGCGGTAATGCTCAAGTACCACAAGGTGCCAGTGTATCAGGTGGCGGTAATGCTCAAGTACCACAGAGTGTCAATGTATCAGGAGGCGGTAATGCTCAAGTACCACTGGGTGCCAGTGTATCAGGTGCCTGTAATGCTCGTCTACCACAGAGTGCAGGTGTATCCAATGGCGTGAATGCGTATCTGCCTCAGACTTCTGGTGCAGCAGGTCATCCTCAACAGGCTCCCAATGTGATCGGAGGAAACCAACCAACTGGTCCTATGAACTTTGGAGCTACACCACCGAACCCTTTGACGGTGCTCACTGATGGAATGGCTCAACTACACGCTGCGATGCTGAAGCAAATGGACAAAGGTGGAAGTGGTGACGAAAGCCCTGAAGCGATCAAACCGGGAACCACAGCCCTACCAGCCCTGCGAGAAGTGGATGCCGATACAGCATGTGTGGACATAATGGACTGGATGGAGATGATAGATGGCCCGATGTCAGATCTGAGCGACAGTAGCGCAACGTGGTGGAAACAGGTCACGACTGAGGCTCACAAGGCCTACTCAACCTGGTCTTTGTCGAGCCCGCTTGAAAGGCTAGCTGTTGCGCCCGATGTGACTGGTTTGGAGGATGGAAAGTATTCGAGGCTGAACAGCAGGGCGGCGGCTATGATCATGACAGCGATCCACGACACGGTGCGTCAGGAGGTTGTTGCAAGAAGGCTCACGGGGAGCACCGTGCGCCTGATCTTCAGGCTGCTTACCCTTTACCAACCAGGTGGAGGTGAAGAAAAGTTCAAGATCTTGCAGAACCTCCAAAGCCCTACTGCTGAGAGTGAGCCAGCTAAACCTGTTAAAGGACTTAGAGCTTGGAGTCGGTGGCTTCGTCGTTGCAAAGAGTTGGGAGTCCAACTTCCTGACCCAAGTCTTCTTGTGCGAGGTTTGACCAACATGGTTCGCGCAGTCCTGGACAAGAACACAGAGGCAACCTTCAGAACGTCCTTGGTAAGGTCCACCTTGCAGATAGACTCTAATCCCAGCTATGACAAAGTCGACAGTTACTTCAAGCACCTGATGGCTGAGTGTGAGGCGTTGTCCGTGGCAGGTGCTGCAACAACAATGGTACCTGTACAACCACCTAAGAATGAACCTCGACTCCGACCCGTCAAGCCCGAAGCAAAGGCGACCTCAACCTCAACGGCTTCGTCTCCTAACAATAGGTCAAGGCCGACGACCCCTCCAGTCAATGCTACAGAAGAAAATGCAGCTAAGGGCACGGTTCCAAAGAATGAGGTTCCCTGCAGGTTTTTCGACCGGACGGTAAAGGGTTGCAACCGAGGCTCTCGATGCCTGAGCTGTGGCGGAAAGAATCATGCGACA